TTTGTGGTCAGTGGTTCTTGTTGGGCATTTCTTCCGTAACAGTGAGGATGGCGCAGGGCTCTGCACTGTTTCGTTGTTGTGCAGAGGACTGCTATGGGTCTGAACCGATTCGATGGAACCTCATAAATATATAACATATCGTTCCGAAGGCCACAACGATGTTTACCGAGGCGTTGGGTTCCACAGGAAGCAAAAATAGTTAAAAGGCAAGAGCCAACACTTGGGTATGACGTTGCCTAGGGGCCCTCAAAGACCTTCTCCATCTTGAGTCCCAGATGGACTCAACACCTATGACAAAACAGAGATCCAAGGATGACTGCCCTAGGAACCTGGTTTCTTCAGCGCTTCAGGGGAAAAAACAGTGCTTAACAAGCCCTCACCTCCACCTGGACCGAGTCCTCCCGGAGACGACCCGACACCCGGACGCCGGCAGGGGAACACCTTCTCCCGCACTCTCATTGGCTGGGGATCCCGGAAGCGCCTGCCTTCGGCGGACGTGCTTACAGTTTCTCGCGCACGCTCATTGGCTGGAGCGCCCGGAAGCGCCTGCCTCCGGCGGAAGTGCTTCTCCTGCGTGCGTCCGCGGCGTTCGGGCCCTCAGGTAGGCGGGGCCCCTGGCTGCAGATTCTGGGACGGAGGGGCAGGGGTACGTGCAGAGAGGACCCCGGGGCCTGAGGAGGTTGTCCGGGAATTGTTCCGTGAGGACCGGAAGGAGTCTTGAAGGAGACGGGTTCACGGCAGTGGCTGGCGGCCACGGGGGCCTTGCGGATCCGAGCCGCGGCGGGATGGAACTGCGGGAGCTTCACGTCCCCTCGGGAGATGGGCGATGGGCGCGCGGTCGTGCTGGAGCTGTTAGTGCGAAGCCTGGCACAGCGTGCAGGCCGCCCTTGACGTTTTCGCCTCTGGAGTTGACGACTGCCCTGAAGGCGCACGGGGCGCGGAGGTTTCCTCACTGCCCCTCGGCTTCACCAGGAACAACGTCAGGCTGCCAGAGAGCACCGTCGAGGGACTTTTCATATGTACTTTTAAAGTTTTATGTATTTATTTTAAGCGAGGAAGGTTCTCATTTGACAATTACCGCATCAGACGTTCGGTTACCTTTATTACAGGAATAGTAACTCCCGGCCCCGTGGGTCTCTTCGGGGGAGAGGGGTGTGTTTCCATTTCAGCATCTCAGGCAGCTCGAGCGGAAGCTCTCTGGACAGCCAGAAGTCAAGGTTGTGTTTGACAAACAAAATTACCTGTTAATGCTTTCCCTTTCGCCAGACAGCTCTGGCCCCGGCTTTGAACTTTGAGCTTCTTGTTATCGTGATACTGAACGTTGTTTACCCCCCTCAGATTTATAACCCTTCGAACTACTAGAATTTAAGGCTCACGCAGTTTGAGATTAGTCAGTGCTGTGCACAATTAGGGGTACTAAAAAGCGGGGAGCGTGAATGAACCTGAATGAGCACAGATTACAGTGTGAGCTATTCCTGCAGTTTGGGGACTAGGTGCACTAGGTGGTGCCAGCGAGTTCGTCTCTCGGGATAAAGCTCAACTACTACTGCTCCAGGTTGTGGAATTTACAGCGCTCCCATCTTTCCGGAAATTGTTCGGAATAGCGTTAACTCCTTAAAATACATTGAGCCTTTATGTACTTCACACCAAATTATCCTTATTTATTCTGTATTAAAGGAGTCCTGGTGGCACTGTGGGCAGTAAGCATTGGGCTGCCAAAAGCAAGATCAGAGGTTCAAACCCACCAGCCACTCTGAGGGATAAAGATAAGGCTGTTTGTTCCTGTAAAGGTTTATAGCCTCGGAGGCCCTGTGTACTGTGGCTGTGGGTCAGAACAACTAGATGGCAGTGGGTTTGATCTTGGGGTTTTATTCTGTAGTAGAGACGGAGGAGGCTAAGCAGAATCAGACACCTTTTCTGCTCTCAAGAGTTTACAGAATGGAGAAGAGAGAAAAGCAACATGTTAAAAAGAAAAGAAAGAAAAGTCACGTGTGAAAAGGAAATTAACATATTATTCAAGGCAAAAATTAATGTTACAGAAGAAAACATGGAAGGAAGAGAGTTGAGAAGGAAGGAGCATTTCTCATTATATCTCGATCTATCCCCCCCCCTTTAAGGAGCCTTGGTGGCACAGTGGTTAGGCTCTCAGCTGCTAATAGCTCTGCTCTGCCCTGTGTGGTTGCTTTGAGTTGGAATAAGGAACCCTAGTGATGCAGTGGGTTATAAGTTAGACAACAAAGTTAGTTCAAAATCACTGGCTGCTCTATGGGAGAAAGATGAGGCTTTCTACTCTCACGAAGAGTTAACAGTCTCAAAAAACCGACGAGCAGGTTTGCTCTGACCTATAGGGTCCTTGTGAATTGGAATTGATTTTAAGGCAGTGACTTTTGTTTTTGTTTTTTTTGAGTTTGGACCTGTAGTGTTGCCATGAATTGGAGTAGACTAGACGTCAATAGGTTTGCATACCTAACATTAGGTATGCTAAAGGCTGAGGTGTAAATAACTCCCATCCTAGTGATTGGGAGTGAATCAAGGAAAGTGTATGGAGAAGCTTACACCTGAGCTAGCTTTCAAAGACTATCTTGTGGGGTTAAGGGGAGAGGGGTTCCCCACTAATCATCACAGGTCCGGTAGGCCCAATTGTACAGCGATAATAAGTAAAGATTATAGTAAAGTCATAGAGAGCATGAGAGTTAAAAGTTAGAGTCAAGTAATGGAGTCAGACACAATTCATGGTAGCATTGCTCACCTCAGCCTCGCTTGGTGGTCCACGTGGAGGGAGAGAGAAGAACTTTAATGCCTCCCCAGCTTTTACCCTCTCTGGGGACATGCAAGCCCCCTAATTACAGGTGAAGACATACGTCACAGGAAGGGGTTGTACAATAGGTATACACATTATAGGAAGGGGATCTATGATAGGCATAAGCGTAACAGGAAGGGGATGAGCTAGGGGTGTGCCCATAAGAATGGGAAGGTCTCGGGGTATACATATGACAAGATGGGCGGGCCCTAGATTCATGATTGGCAGCCTAACCTTGGTAATCCTTGGGTGAGTTTGACCTCTCTGGGGTCTCCTACAAGGTAACAGACAACTACTATCCTTATCAGAAGGGAGTGGGCCCTACTTGTTGTGGGATAAACAGTGGTGATTGCTTGGTCTAGATGGCTGATTGCTCTTAGGGAGAATGACCTCTAATCTACTCCTGATGACCTCCAAGTGTATAGTCATTCTCAAGCAGCTAAGTCTGGCATATATTTGGGGGAGACAGCTTGAGAGAAATCCTTCTGTTTCCCACGCTATATAAACTGAGCTTGATAAATAGAAAAATACAGGCTCAAAAGAGGAGGATAAAAATGTATGGCTGGGTTTGAAATGGCAAGTAGCCCAAATGTGGTTGGACTGTGGGGAATTAAGCCTGAAAAGACACTTGTGTTTTCATTTTGAGTTTGCTTTGACTCTTACATGAAAATTCAACTGATAGAGAATAAAAATTTAAATGTGTATTTCCAGGAGAAACCCACTAACCTTTTATATGCAAAATACAGCATGCAAAATTACACTTTAGTAGCTTGCTTATAGTTATATAGCATAGAATTGTTATTGATGATTTAAGCTAATTTAAAAGGATAGTAAAAATAAAGTTTTGGGTTCGTTGCATTCTAATCTGAATAGAGTGTATAGAAGCTTTTTTATCTCTTCAAATCACGTAAGATCATCTAGTAATGATTTCTTACTGTGTAGCAAAATGTAAAACGCTTTCTATAAATTATCCTAGGGTTTTGGTTTTGACAAATCTTCATATCTAATATTAAGCAAATATTGGTTTCCTAGAAGAAATTTAATTTTTATAAATGGAAAGACTTAAATGCTATGTAAATGTCAAGGTAAATGGATACAATCTCAACTCACCTGTCAGTAGATTTTCTCCGCATCCACAATAATCAACTAGAAATTGTAATAATGAAAAACTCATTCCCAATAATAACATAATATTAGGGGGCTTCATAAAGCTTGTGGGAAAATAGAATGGAAAGATAATGGAGTTTTTTCCATGAACTTTTAAAACTATGTTTTGTTTAGGGTGCTAAAGAAGATCTGGGGACACTGTAGTAATAGTTACACAACATTGTGAATGTACCTACAGTCACTGAATCCTGTGTTCAAAATTGGTTATAATAGTAAATGTTAAAGTATATTTTACTGCAAAAAGAGAGTGAAAGTCTTTATCAATTATCAAAATGCATTGGCCATAAAGTTATAATAATTCAAAACAGTGAGGTAACACGTTAAGAACAGAATATGGTCAATGAGGTAGTTGTGAGTCTGAAAATCTGGCTTAAAAGAAAGATGACTTGCTATATTAATGCATAAAGGATGTATTACTTGGCAGATAGAGTTAGGATAATTGGTCAGCCATTTGAAAAAAATTGACTCCTACTTCATCACAAAAGCATACAAAAAATTTTGTAGACAGCTTAAAGAGCTAAATGTAAAAAAAATGGCTAAAGGTATAAGAATACAAAGAAGTATATTTTTACCATTCTTAGCATGGGTAAGGTCTGCCTTCATGGGACACAAAACTGGACTTAGAAGACGAGAAAGATAGGCCATTAAAAAATAACACTTTGGAGCATTGTAAATTGGTTCTTAGCACTATACTTAAGCACTACACTTTGTCATTAGAGCTCCATTTGGACCCACTTTCAACTTATCCTAAATTTTTAATAGCTTGATATTTTTTCTTAGATTGAAGTCTTTCTCTGTTTTATATAATCATTGTGTTGTGGCTTGGACCTTCTGTGGTTGCTTGTCCTTGTTTTTATGTTTTTCTGTGTCTGGAAGCCAGGATGTTGTGGACTTATGAAGGCAGTAAATGAAATAATAATTCTCTTGGAGCACAGAAGGGGAGGGTTGGGGAAATGGGGAGGCAATGTCAATGAACACAAGAAGGAAGAAAGTGTTCCAAAATTGATTGTGGTAATGATTGCACAACCCTTAATATGCTTGAACTATTGAATTGTATAATGTGTTAATTATAGCTCAATAAAACTAATTTTAAAATAATAATGTCTCTGGTAACACCATAAAATCAGGACATAGGAGATAACATTTATAACAGAATTACAAAGGTTTTATAAACCCAAGTTATATAAATGAACAAAAGACAGGTAATCCCATTTTTTAAAAGGGCACATTTTCGAAGAAGAAATATTTATAAAGACTGTGTTCATTCTCACAAAACATTTGATAAATGCATATGAAAACAGGAATGTTTTGAATCCTGGAGGGCCCCTTTTCTTGATCTGGATGCTGCTTGTCGAGGGCTCTACAGTTTGTGCAAATTTATTTGTTGTTTGATGCTATTGAGTCAGTTCCGACTCATTAGCAACTTTGTGCACAACAGATTGAAGCACTGCCCGGTCCTGCGCCTCCTCACGATTGTTCTGTGCTTGAGCTCATTGGTGCAGCCCTGTGTCACTCCTGCTAGTTGAGGCCCTTCCTCTTTGTCACACCCCTTCTATTTTACCAAACGCCTTTTCCTTCTTCAGGGACTGGTCTCTCCTGTACTTATTAAACGACTAGTACTGGTTTTATAAAATAATCATAATACTGTAAATCTTTTTATAAAGTGAAACTCAATCTATTTCTTTACAAATCTGCATTTTCATGTATCATATTTGTTTAAGATAGGCCCATTAATTTATTAAAGCCTTCAATTAATTTATTAAAGTCATTTAAGAATATTATCAGAAACATTTATGATATATTTATTGAACTTTCATCTAAATTGGGATTTTCTTTATGTAACTATCTTTCTCACATCTGAAGTTTGAAATTAATATAGCCTATTTAAATTGCACTGGTACATTTATTTTATGATATTTTATTTTTAAATCATTTTATTGGGGCCTCATACAACTCTTGTCACAGTCCGTACATACATCCATTGTGTCAAGCACATGTGTACATTTGTTGCCATCAACATACTCAAAACATTTTCTTTCTACTTGAGCCCTTGGTATCAGCTCCTCATTTTTCCCCTCCCTCCCTCATGAACCCTTGATAATTTATAAAAAAATTTTTTCATGTCTTACACTGACCAATGTCTCCCTTCACCCACTTTTCTGTTGTCCATCACCCAGGGAGGGGATTATATGTAGATCACTTTGATCAGTTCTCACAATGATACATTTAATTGCTTCAAGTAATCAAATGTAATGTACTGTATGTAAGTGGGTTTATTATTCTCCATAGAAATTAAAATGGCTTCCAGAGGAAAGATAGAGACAAGCAAATTAAAGCAGAACTTAGAAGAACAGTTGGATCGGCTAATGCAGCAGTTACAAGATCTAGAGGAATGCAGGTAATCATGTAATTGTATGTTGTTCGACTGTAAAATGACACTTTCTGCCATCAGATTAATGACAAACCTCGGTGGACACAGATCCACGAATGATTTGGTCTCCTCTGTGCTGGCTTTCACAGTGCTTGGGTGGTGGAAGAAGCTCCCTAGAAGCTTTGGAGTGAAAAAGACTGGGATGTAAAAGTCTTCCCATTCAAATTGCATATATGAACTTGAGCAATACACTTACACTCATTAAGTTTCCGTGCCCTTAATGTCTACCTGGTCTTTGGTGTATGTATTAGTCTGGATACTTTGGAGAAACAAATCCACAGCAACTCATGTATAAGAGAGAGTTTTATGCAAAGAAAATGTGCATCACGAAAACATCCCAACCCAATGCTGCCCAAGCCCACAAGTCCAACATTAACCCATACCCAACACCAGTCCACAAAGTCCTTCACCTCACAAAACAGGCAATGATGCCAACTGCAGGAGGAAAGCTGAGTCAGTGAACGAACAAGCATCTCAGCACTGGCAGGGGTCTCCATAAGGCTGCTCCAGCACCCAGGGCTGCATCGGGATAGGTCCATGCGGCTTCTCCTTGGGGATGTCTTGTAGGATGTCAATCTTGCAAGCTGAAGCAGGAAGCTGCTAAGGCAGCTGCATCCTGGTGCGACCATCACAAAGCAAGAGACCCAAGAACTAGAAAGGCGAGGCTTCACCACCCATTTATCCCTCCGCCTTTCAACCAGCCCCACATGTGATTATCGGCCAGGCTGGCACAATTAACTAACTCAGTGTATAAAGCAGCCCTGCTTGATATCAACTAAGAAGATGATACTTGAACTTGAACTTCTGTTTTCAGCCTTAATTGCTCAAATAAGCATAGCCATTGAAGTTTTACACAACCTTAAATATTACAAACGAAGGGGTAATGTTTAGCCCCAAAATAGGTGCTCAATAAGTGGTAACCATTGCTATGTGTAGTAAATGTTTAATAAATGGCTTATTAGACTAATTAAAATTTCCCACCTATTTCAAGTGATAAGTCCTGTATTGCTGCTATATTTTAAGGTATACAAGATATTGCCATTAATAATGATAATAATAACAACAGTTATTTATCAAGTACCTATGATACGCCAAACAACTTTCCATATCTCATTTAACAATGTTCATAGCAACCCTGTAAGGCAGAGACACCCAGTCTCTGCCTGAGGCTGAGGAGAGGGCAGTGGTAGTTTTGTGGTAGCAGTCTGCTCTCTATCGGTGGAGGCTTAGGATGCTGACAGCGGAGCTTCCAGACTTAGACTAGGAAGAGAGCCCTGGCGATCTTCTTCTGAAAAAGTGTTGTTGTTAATGTTGTCATTAGGTGCCATGGAGTCAGTTCCAACCCACAGCGACCTTATGCACAACAACAGGGGGAAACTCGGCCTTGTCCTGTGCCATCCTCACAGTGGTTCTTCTCTTTGAGCCATAGTTGCAGCCGCCACGTCAGTCCAGCTTGTTGGGAGCCTTCCTCTTTCCCTGCCCTTTGACTTTACCAAGCACGGTGTCTTTCTCCAAGGACTACATGAAACAAAGTCTCACCATCCTTGCCGCTATTGAACCTTCTGGCCCTACTTGCAAGACAGCTCTGTGGGTTCTTTTGCCAGTCCGTGGTACTTTCAATATTCTTCTCCAGTACCATATTTCAACTATGTCAGTTTTCCTTAGTCATTGTCCAACTTTCACAGGCATATGTGGCAATTGAAAATACCATGGTTAGGGTAAGGCACTCCTTAGTCCTCAAAGTAACAGCCTTGCTTTTCAGCACTCTAAAGAGGTCTTGTGGAGCAGATTTACCTAATGCAATGTGTTGTCTGATCTCTTGGTTAATGCTTCCATGAGCATTGATTGTGGATCTAAGCAAGGCAAACTCCTTGACAACTTCAATCTCTTTCCATATATCATGATGTTACTTATTGGTCCGGTTGTGAAAAATTTTTTTTCTTTACATTGAGTTGTAATCTATACCAATGGCTGCAATCCTTGATCTTCATCAGCAACTTCTCCAAGTCCTCGCTTGCAGCAAGCAAGGTTATGCCATCAGCATAGCACAGGTTGTTAACAAATCTTCCTCCAATCCTGATGTCACATTCTTCTTCATAGGATCCAGCTTCTCTGATGATTTGCTCAGCATACAGATTGAAGAAATCTAGGGAGAGGATGCACCCCTGTCGTGTACCCTTCCTGATTTTCAGCCATGCAGCATGCCCTTGTTCTGTTCTCACAAATCTTATGGGATCAGTGTCTGATCCCACTGTGCATGTGTATGAAGTAACTGAAAGACAGATAACAAAAAACACTACATCATTATCTGCAATTTAGCAAGAGACCTCAGGAGGCTTTCCGAACATTGTATCATTAATTCATAACCTTCTTACAGGAAGTTTGTTAAATGTGCTTCGTTTTGGTGAAACAAAAACATTTTATTATCAAAGTGACCACATTGCAGCAACACATCCATCATTGGCATTTTGATCCAGCCTCTTCCCCAGGATGTATAGTTTTAATCTATATATGTGTCATTTTTGTGTAGAACACTAAAATTGCCCTTTTCACTTGGCCCTGTTTTTGTTTTTAATGATGATCAATATATACTAGAGAGGAACTTGATCCAGAGGAATATGAAGAAACCAAAAAGGAAACCCTGGAGCAGCTGAGTGAATTTAACGAGTCACTGAAGAAAATCATGTCTGGGAATATGACCTTGGTGGATGAGCTAAGTGGAATGCAACTGGTAAGTAGGGTCTACCTACATGGGTGACAGAGCTGGTTTATTATTCTCTGTTTTTATAAGCATAGTTAAGGCAGGAAATGTACCCTGTAGAGTTTCTAGATGAGCGTCTGCTTATATGTAGAACAGTAAATGTGATTCAGATTTTCATGTAGTTAGGTATTTGGCTTTATTAATAAAGCTTTAGTAATAAGGACAGAAATAGCAAATGGGAACTACAATTATAACTGTTTGATGCTACAAGATGACTCATCAGTAACTGAGTATATAAAATGGTCTCTTAATGGTTTATTCTGTATTTCTCCTCCCTAACTATTACTGCGATATGCAGTAAATTCATTGGAATATTTTATATTTATACTCCCTGTGTTAGGCTGGATTGTTTAAAGAAACAAACTCAGTATTACTCACGAGAAAGAACTTGATATCAAGAAGTAAGCTTACATCAGGAAGGCTTCCCAGTCCAGTCCCACTTAAGTCCATGAATCTAAGGCTAGCCAGAGGCCTCTTCCCACTCATGTAGCTGCAGGCCGATGATGCAGAAAGGTCAAGTGGAAAGTGGGAAAATCACAGACCGGTGGGTGCAGAATTGCATGTATGCAAATCTGTGGAATGCCGACAGTTCTTAGAATCAGGCATCCCCCATGGGGCTGCCCCTGGAAGCAGGCAGAGCCCTGGCAAAAGGAAGGTGGAGGGATAGAGAGAGGAGGGGGTGGGGGGTGGGGTCCCCTGTGTTACTCTTATAAAAAGGCCACACTTCCCAGGAGGCATCATCAGACTGTGACCTGATTGCCAGGTTAGGCTCCACTGCTACACTGGTGAACATTGACATTCAATCTACTGCTCTGTTGTGATTGCAGTGCACAGTGCAATGCCTTGGACTATCTTGGTTAGGTTTGCCTGCCTTTGTTTCTAGGCTATTCAGGCAGCTATCAGCCAGGCCTTTAAAACTCCAGAGGTCATCAGGCTGTTTGCAAAGAAACAACCGGGCCAGCTCCGCACGAGGTTAGCAGAGGTAAGGTTTCTTCTCTTTGGTCTAATCGCTGTATTTGCTTCTTCTCCCAGCCGGAGAGTTTCTTCAAAATGGTATTCTGAGAGCAGCAACTCACAATTTTTGACACAATTAGCCCTTTGAGTAATTGTAGTTGAAAAGGAATACAGAAGTTAAAGCAGCCTATGGCAGTTTTAATTTTAACTCACTGCTTCAACTTGGACTCCACCTTTAGAGCTTTTTTTAACCTTGACTTTTGGAACCCCAAGTTTAAATACCATTTTGGAATTCATTAGCAAGATTGCTTCATGGTTTGTAACATCTCTGTTGAGGAATCTCCAAGACCTTTATAGACCTGGTAGATAAAGAAGTCTGTTTATAGACTTGAGTATTACTGAGTATTCACTAATGTATAATAATGTAAATACCGTATTTACTAATTATAATGTAAATTACTGAGTGTTTACTAATGTAAATAATTAAATTATTTACAATCATGGGTAGGTCAGTAGCAGAGTGGTTCAGAACATGGGCTTCGGTCAGACTAACTAGATTTGAAACACTGCTCTGCTAAAGATGTATGAATCTAGGCTACCTCTTTGTGCCTCAACTTCTCTGTCTGTCAAACGGGAATAGGGATATTCCCTTCCTCTTAGGGTTGTCATGGGGATTATGAATTAATACATACAAAGCCCTTAGGACAGTGGTTCTCAACCTTCCTAATGCCGTGACCCTTTAATACAGTTTCTCATGTTCTGGTGACCCCCCCCCCCAACCATACAATTACTTTCGTTGCTACTCCATAACTGTAATTTTGCTACTGTTATGAATCGTAATGTAACTATCTGATCTGCAGGATGTATTTTCATTGATACAAATTGAACATAATGAAAGCATAGTGATTAGTCACAAAAACAATATATAATTATACATTGTAAAATATTTATTTCTAATTACAAATAAATGAAATGTTGTCTTGAAGCATGGTGTAGCATGGGTAACAGTCTTCACGCCCCATACTTGTATGTGGGCGGACCCGCCTGGAGACGATAGAGGAGTGGTATTTTCGGTTCTTAAGACCGTCGGAAATATGTGTTTTCTGATGGTCTTAGGTGACCCCTGTGAAAGGGTTGTTAGACCCCCAAAGGGATCTCGACCCACAGGTTGAGAACCGCTGCCTTAGGAGGCTTGATGGCACAGTGGTTAAGCAATTGGCTGCTAAGTGAAAGGTCAGAGGTTTGAGCCCACCAGCAGCACTTCATGGGAGAAAGGTATGGCAGTGTACTTAGGCTATGGAAACTCTGGGACAGTTCTCCTTGGTCCTTTAGGCTGGTTGTGAGTCAGAATGCACTGGAAACAATGGTGCAACGCACAGTATGCATTTACAATGTTTCTGGTGGTTGGGATAGTTAATGGACATTCCAGAAGATCTATTAGCAGTTGTCCATTCAAGCTACAGACCCCCCTTCAGGGTAGTGAAATGACTTCCTCGATGGATATCTCCTTTCCAGAGGAGGCTGCTGACCTACAGCAGCCCTTCTGCTCGTCCCTGACGAAGGAGGGGCAGTGTTCTCATGACCCATCATAAGTCAGTGTGTGTGTCCTTGTTTTCTGGGGGGCGGGGGGGAGGGTTCTTTTCACTATTGCTTTTTACGATTTTTTTTCAGTATTTTTATAAATCGATTATTTGTCTTTGGCAGTTGTAAACATATTTATAGACATATGAGAAGATTTCAAAAAGTTCATGGAAAATGGAATTAAAAGATAATGGAACTTATCTACAAGCTATTTGAAAACTCATATTTTCATACATACATGTAAACTTTATAAAGTACACACACCATGAAAAAATGGATGACATTGGCATTTTGTCAGTTGCTGTAATAACACCACTTGTGGAAGGTTCTGGATCATTTGGATTATTCTTGGAAACGGATATGGCATGCCTAGTCATAAAATTAGTGAGAGTTTTCTGTATGGCCCTTTTATATGCTGCAGTATTTTATGTAGTACATATGAGGGGGCTTCGAAGTGTTTGTGGGAAATTGGAATTGAAAGGTAATGGAATGACTCCATGAATTTTTGAAGCCCCTTGTATTAATTAATAACATGTAAAAGCTATTTGAAATGAAACCCAAATAAATACAGACGTAAGTACAGTTTCATAATGCAAATATGTTGCAAATGAGACTACCTGTAATGATTATGGTTAACATTTAATGTTTAATAGAACTTTTAAGAAACTATTTCTATCATATTTGCCAACCATTATTTCTGTATTTCTCTGTGGGATGAATCACTAGAAGACTTGCTTTGTTTCTCTGTTTCTAAGAATAGGTCTAAAAAGCTTTTCTCGCGCATGGACCATCGTTCTCCCATAAACACTGTGTGCTGTGCGTTCACCCACTCTAGATGGATCGAGATCTGATGGTGGGGAAGCTGGAAGGAGGCCTGTACACGCAGCAGAAAGTGGAGATCCTAACAGCTCTCAGGAAACTTGGAGAGAAGGTACCAGTATTCTATTTAACAAATTGAATAAAGGAAAATTGTGAAGTATTTGGTGCAGAACTGTTTGATCTGTGATCCAGTTTGTAGCCCTGAGACACCCTTAACTAGTTCTTAGAGCCACGAGTAACATTTAGACACCCTCGACCAGAGTATGTCTTGTTTTGCTCAGCTCACTGCAGATGACGAAGGCTTCCTGTCAGCAAATGCAGGGGCTGTCCTCAGCCAGTTTGAGAGAGTCTCCACAGACCTTGGTGAGTAGTCCCTTTGGGTCTCTGAAAGCTGGACATGGCTTGCTGTTCAGGGCTGAAGGGCAGCAGGATTGAGGTGAATAAGTGACCTTTTCATGAGGTTAGCAGTAAAACCAGAATGAGTTTCTTTATAAACCCATTTGATTGTTTTTTCCCCCCATACTTTTAAAATTCAAAATAGTTAAATGTCATGAAGCCTAATTTTTAGAAACGAGTTGTCAGCTGTATGTAACTTCAAAAATAAACCAATATTTTGTGTATTCTATATACCTTACATTGGCATAAGACTTTATAAGCTGTCAGTCAAGTCCTCTGTGCCGGTTATTGGAGCAGAAGGAGGAACTTGTGGTGGCGGTGGAAGGTGAGGGGTTGGTGCACGATGGAAGCAGATTCTTTCTTCTCTCCCAACATGTAAGACTAAGTGGAAGAGTGTTCTCACTTTACCTGCAGCAGTAAGTGCATGTGACACGTCTTCATTACGCGTCTTTTCTCCATAGGCTCTGGAGACAAAGTCCTTGCTTTGGCGAGTTTTGACGTTGAAAAAACAAAAAATTGATGTGGTGTGGAATCTTGGACCAGTGACCACATTCTTGGGAACGACATTTTTCTTCCGAGGACATTAAGTCTTCGCAAAGGAATCGAGACTCTTGAGCCACAGTGATAGCTTATGAAGACATGACATAAAACCGTGCTGGCGCCTTCAGTGGTGCCCTTCATCGCTGTGTTTCGTGTCAGGCCACCTTTGTGAGTGACCCTGCCCTTGTTGGTACGGAAGGATTCACTGGTCCTTGTTTGTTATGATTTGTCTGTTTAAGAGAGTAAAGAAAATGCGGTTTCTCTCCCTGAACTTATTAGGCTGCTTGTTGGCAAGGGCTGATAGCAAATGAAAAGATGTCCACTAAAGGCTCTCTTCTGCTGACGACTTTACTCCTGGTACTGAATAGTGAGCGTCGCAACGTCAGTAGACCGCACGTGTGTTCTTCTATAGAGCTTTATAGAGTTCTAAGTGACCTTAGAAATCATTTTCATTGTACAAACAAGGCAACTGAGGCTCACAAAGAGCAAATGACTTGTTCAACATCACCTTAGAGCTGAGGATAAGACCAGTCCTAACTCTCAATTTAGTGCTCATTCAGTTTTTATTTTGTTAAACTGTTTTGTTTTGTTCTTTTAATTATTAACATGTATTAATGCAAGTCAGTGTCAGTGTGTATGAAACTTTGATATCCCAACAAAAAGTTGACAGTACACCAAGGGCCCATTCCCTAGCCTATGTGCTCTCCTTCTGAATAGAGCCCATTGTGTCTCAGCATGTTGAGTTTGGAACAATGGGAGCCCTGTTGAGCGGCTCCTGAAGTCACTGAACCTCCTGCGTCCTCTCACCAGGGAAGCAATAGGAAATGGCAGCTAGGGGCCCTCCCTGCTGGTGACCTCTTGCTGAAACCCAGAGGGTGGTGACTCTAAGCTACTATTTACTCTTCAGTTTTTGGAGAAACATAAAAGTTGTGAAGGAAAACAAGTTTCTCTTCTGAATGTTTATCTATCTGCATGGTAAAATATATAGATCTATATATATGCATGTATGTTAGCTGATTTCTTAGGCTCTGGCCATTTTTATATTCTTCCTCAATATACTTTTTCTTTGCACTTTATACAAATTAAAAACATTTTTACAGCTTCTTGTATAGTGTAAACTCTTCTAGGTGCTCTGCCAACTGGGACAAATTAGAAGATTTTTGCTACACTAATGCCTTATTTGGAACTCTTAATGGGCAATTTTTTTATATTAGTTTAAATGGTCAAACACACATTGGAATTCAGATAAACCAAGAGAAAGATTATCTGCTGTTCATCTAGAGCAGGGGTGTCAAACTGGCAGCCCACAGGCCACATGCGGCCCCCAAGGTAATTTTTTTGTGACCCATGATGCTCTGAAATAAATTGTAACGAGGGAATTATGTATTCAGTATTGCCTCGATCTCCCCTAAGTGCTATTTTCTTCATAACAATTTTTTTCTATTTTCATTTTATTTCAGAGCATTGTGGGCCACAAAAAATTACCTTGGAGCCACATGCGGCCTGCAAGCCGCCAGTTTGACACCCCTGATTTAGGACATTATGGTCAATCATTATTTCATTTTTCTGTATGTGACATTTAATTGAGGTAAAATTCAAAACAGCATAATTTACTTTGTACAATTCAGTGATCATTAGTACAATTAGTACAGTGTGGATTCACCCCTCTCTCTAGTTCCAAAACATTTCCATGACTAAAGGAACCCTGTACCTATGAAGCAGTCCCTGCCCATTCCTCCTACCACCCCCCCTCCCAGCCGCTGGGAACCACTGATAAATCTTGTAACCACTAAGTTGCTTTCTGTTTTAGCAATTTACCTCCTCTAGATATTTCATATAAATGGAATCTCACAATTTGTCTTCGTGTACAAGCTTCTTTCAAAGTTCGCCCATGTTGTAGCTTGTATCAGGACTTCATTCCTTTTTGAGACTGTGCATACATTCAAAGCATGTGGCACATTTGGTTTATCCACTCACAATTGTTGAACACTAGAGTTGTTCCCCCTTTGGACCACTGTGAGTCGTGCTGCTCTGAGCGTTCCTGTACAAGTATTGGTGTGAGTTAAATTCTTTTGGGTACCTAAGGGTTTAGGAGCAGAATTGCTGTGGGCTTTTTGGTTTGTTTCAAACCATAGATCCTCTTTTTTCCCCTCAGTGATAGGCCAAGAAAATTAGTATTTTGTATTTGAAAGGGGTCTGCATAAATCTAGAGTCCCTAATCTTGGGCTCCCTTAATTTTTCTCTAAGACTGACATCAGTGACATTTTTTTATTAGTCATATGAATGCATTCATTTTGTAAGTAATGCTCAATTTTAAATTATCTTCATTTAAGAAGATATGAAATGCTTGGCAAGGCACTGCCAATCATAGCTGTGTGACCTTTGGTAGATTACTTAAGCCTTTTGAGCCTCATTTCCTTCATCTGTTCAAGGGGATAGCAGGACCTATGGTTGTGTACTCTCACTTCCTGAATGCATTGGCGCTAACCCTCATTGAACCACTCTTCTTAAGGACCACACGACTTTTTTGTTTGACAAATTTGGCATTTTGTTGAGAAAGATAATTGAGAAAGCAAATTCTATGCAAACTGTAGTTATTAAATGACTTGCAAACATGTTTTCTGTTCATATTTTGTTACATTTCATTTTCTTGTTTTTTAAGATCTTGTGGGAGATCTTAAAAGTAACACTAGCAGTAATGAACTTTTCAACATTCTTAGGTCAGGCTAATATTTTAATGAAATGAATTCCTGCATGTTTCAAAGAATTGGGCTAAAGGAGAAATAAATCCCAATGAACAAGTATCCAAATGGGCTGTGTTTAATGAACCTCATCTTTAAAGCAATGGCCCTGTTTTGGCATTGGGTTTTATTGTTAATCCAGTGAGTTGGTAAAATGGGTGTTTTAAGTGGGTGGTGGAAGAAAAAAATGAACAATAGAAGGAGGAAATTGTTCCCAGGTAAGAGTTGGGAAAAGTGGATTAACAACTGTTAGACCATTTATTGCAGACACTCCGCTGTGGGATCATCTTCAGCAACAGAGAAAGCTGTGCCACTCCATCATCAAAGTGATACTGCATAAATGATGGCTAGTTTGAAATTATTACAGGAAAAAAAACAAACTCAACTATTTGTCTAGAGCCTTGCAACCACCACCGTATCTGTTTTTGGTTTTTTCTTCTCATTTCATTAATTACTAAAACTAAAGACTGCTCTTTTTTACGCCTCAAAATGTTTTCCAGTAATATGTAAATGAAAACTGCCAGCATGCCCTCACACTTCCATGAATAAAGCTGCAAGACATAATTGCTTCCAGTCTGTCTGACCATGCAGTGAGGATTTTAGGAAGTGGGGAAACTAATATTTTCATCAAGTTTCAAAAGGCAGCTAAAAAATGCCTCTCAACTATGTCCCTTAAATATGGCCTATTGGCATCCTAACTCACCCTCCCTCCCTCTTAATTTCAGTCCCTCTGTTTACACTAATAGAAAAATAGGCTGTAATACTAACGGACATCATGCTTGGTAAAGGAGGGGCAGCAAACAAGAGCAAGGTCCTCAGTAAGATGGACCGACACTAGCTGTCACAACGCTGAAGAGGTGTCATGTCATTGGAGGCCACCCTCATGAAATGGGGTATATGTTTTTCTGGTGTTACCGTATCTGAACCCAGGATTTATAAGGAACCCATGGGGACAGCAGCAAGTGGAATAAGGGTTTCGGGGCAGACATGGGGGTGGGGAGGGGTGTAATGGGGGTAGGGGTTAAGAAAGGAGACCAAAAAAAAAAAGGGGGGGGGGAGTCAATGTCAAGCAGTCCAGGAAGAAAAAGAAAGTTTGGAAACGGATTGTGGTAACAATTGTGGAATTCTGCTTGACATGAATGAACTATGGAATGATATATATACATTAGCTCTCAATAAATGGGGAAAAAAAATGTGAGGATGGCCCAGGCCTGGACAATGTGTCCTTCCGTTGTGCATAGGGTCACTGTGAGTCAGAGCTCCAAACAATAACATTAAGAGGGCCTCACACACCGGGAGTCAATGGTACCTTCAAGAGCTCCCCATGGCGGGGAAGGGGGAGCTAATAGTGAATACAAGAATGAAGAAAACACCCTAAAGTTGATTTATGGTAGTATTGCACAACTCTTAGAAATATGTTTAAGCCATTGAATTGTATGATGTGTGAAATACGGACGTCAATAAAAATGTTTACGCCTTTCACTGTGGAGAGCCGTGAGCAGCGGTTGCAGGCAGAGGGCAGGAACGTGGTAAAGTTGGAGGCTGTCCATTGGAAGCTTCCTAAAAGCTTGTTCTTCCTTTGAGAAGACTACAATCCTCGGAGCCCCAGGCAGTCAGCTGCAATTGAAAACAACCCCCGAATGATTTTCTGTTCAGTTAAGGCCGTGGTTCTCAACCTTCCTAATGCCACGACCCTTTCATGCAGTTCCTCATGCGGTGACCCAACCATAAAATTATTTTCGTTGCTACTTCATCACTGTCATTTTGCTACTGTCATGAATCGGGCGACCCCTGTGAAAGGGTCGCTCTACCCCCAAAGGGGTCGCGACCCACAAGTTAAGGTAATGCCAGCAAGGACTGTTTCTAAGATTACCCATCGGTCTTAAAGGCTTGAAGGTAATCAAGCGGCCATCAAGCTCAGAAGCAACAAAGCCCACATGGAAGAAGCACACCAGCCTATCCAACCACGAGGTGTCGAAGGGATCAAGTGTAAGGCATCATCAGAACAAAAAATCTTACCATAGTGAATGATGGGGGGAGTGCGGAGTGGAGATC